TATGTTTGTACGTGTATCAGGAAGAGAAAGGGCGTTCTCGGACAAATTCTACTTGAGCTCTTCTCCTTATCACAACACCCTCAGCACAGAGAGTCAGCAGCGGAACAACCGCATTTCCAGGAGTTGGAAGTTGGCTGTTGCGGTGGTTAGGGGCGGGGCAATGACCTCGTCGCAAGCGAAATGACAACAAACTGCCTTGTTGGCCATGCCTACGATTGACCGATTGACAGTGAGCTTCTGTAGCAAAATAATCCATGATGACAGCATCAAAATAGGGCGCTAGAGCGGTAAGTAGGAAGCCCAAACGATTCGAACATTGGTCAGGCTAGTTCTGTGCCAAGTGGGCTTTAGGTGTCTTCCGGAAACCAATTCTCCTACCGACTACATGATGTGGTACGGGGACAGCTGCTAGGTCACTATATAGATCTGTGAAAATTCCGTGGAAGAGCAGCACTCACCTGAGAGTTTTCCGGTAATTCATCAGCTCCTTCCTTCGACCATGAAATTACGGCTGATGGATCTCCAGTAACCTAGAATGAACAATAATTTTTTGGGCCCAGTTTGTCTCGGTGGGACGTTTTGCTGGTTTCCATTGTTCAATGATTACGTTTCCTGTGATGGCTTGTAAAATCTTGAAAGCTAGACAATAGCACAAATTTTGTTTACGTTTGATAAGAGTCTACAGGCTTCACCAAGGTCATACGTGTAATTTTACAGGAACTTGTAAAAGAAACTGGCGAATCAGAAAAATGCCCTCCTCACTAAGTCGAAAAGCGCCCTCTTTCAGAAAGAGGGCGTCCTTCGCTCTGTAACGAGCAGCAATTTTACCTTGCAATCGAACCATGCTCGATCACCGACGTTGACCGATTCCGATGAAACGTCAAGAAGAACTTGAATGATGGTGTCGGGAACTGAAGAAAATTGATTGTATTTCAAAGTTTTTTTTCAAGGGAGTTCTTCGAAATTTTCAAGGCTGACCAAATATTTGAGCGTCGACGAAACCTTCGACGACGTTGTTGTCGAATGTTACTTTACACATGTACATGCCGGCAGCGGTGTCATCGAAATCTTTGATCCTGAAAATGACAAATACTGGGAAAATCATTTCTTGCAATATCTCTCGAGACACCTGCAAATATTAGTTCTTTTCGTCGCAACAGTGGATTGTGATGAACCGGTTCCACCGAGTTATTCATATTCTTCAGCAGTTCCACAAGGAATGTGTCCGCTTAGAATTACAAGGACACAAAAGCTTTCCCTTCGATAATGAGAAATAGGCCGACGGTTC